CCCGGGCGGGCCTCAGGGCGCTGGGGCGCGGCGGGGGGGTTTACTCCCCCCGGGTAACTCTGGAATCCCTGGGGACGGAGCCGGGCCGTGGGACTCCGTGGGACTGTTCCACGCCCGCTGTGTGCGAGGGAGGACAGTGCCCGCCGCCTACCACCCTTCCCCTTTCTGCTGCCTGTTTGTGGGGCCCCCGGAGAGAGGCAGATGAGATTCCTGGGAGACGGGTACACCACGTTACTTCATGGGATCGTTGCCGTCCAAGTCACCGGGAGGGCTGTCAGGGGTGAAACCATCAGTCAGTTGTAGAGTTCAGAGTTTTTAGGTAGTAGGAACTAGATGCGCTTCCGGGAGATGTTCCACTTTCTAAGGATATTTCCCCCCCTATTTAAGTATAAACGTGCATACCTAAGAAAGTGTTTATCTCTTTTTAGCCTATGGTAAATATGAATAGGAAGCATGTCGGCTGATTTTTAGGAGCATTTTCAGATGGACAAAGAGTTTGTAGATAAACTCATCAGTAAAGCATGTCTATCTTTTTTTGTAAGGAACGCTATATTGAAGAATGTCTGGAAGTTTCTACTTTGTGATAGTTGGTCATCATGATAATCCCATATTTGAAATGGAATTTCTGCCTCCTGGAAAAGTAGAGTCCAAGGTGTGTTTTTTCCCCTGTAATACTCCTATGATGTAATTATGGTGCATTTTCTTTAGTAATTTTACAGTGTATTAGAAGCGTGACCAGCATGTTGTTAAAAGTGTTACTAGTATCCACTGTTTTTTTGTTTTTTTTTTTTTACAGAAGCTTTGTCATAGGGAGTAGAACTCTGGAATTCTTGACTCTCTTACGAATTCTTTGCCAGATCATACTAGTTCTTCATAAAACGTGGTTTCCTTAAATGTTTGATGCTGTATGGTGAAGAATATGTTGCTCTTAGTGTGTAGAGCTTTTATAATAACTGTTCATTATCTAATGCTATTTACTGTTACTTTCTATTTTAAGGTATCCGTATACAGTAATAAGGTGAAGTAAGGAACATAAATTTGAAAGCTCTAGTCAGTCCTTTATTTTTTATGCTATAAAGAAATCTTACTTTTTAATCGTATTCAATAGTCATGCTTGCTTTTAAGTAAGAAAGGTTTAAAACTTGTATTGATAAATACGGGTTTGAGAATGAGTAGTCTTACATTTCTTACAATGAGTATTGTTTCCAGTGGGAAAAGAATAAATCTATCCATTGTGATATTACATCAAAGAAAAAATAGACTTCAGAATAAAAGTGTGTGGATCTGTGAGCGTGTCCAAAAATGGAAGTATATGCTGTCACTGATTTGAACAGCATGACGTCATCTGTATTTTGAACTACTGTCCCACAAAAAATCATAAATAAGGCTGGTCGGACTAGACTTGGTGAGTGTGAGGATGTGTCAGATAGTGGAAAAATTCATTTTCTGCGTTCTGCTAATGGAATTAACTTGGCTCGAGTAAGCTTCTTGTCTGACTGAGATTGAAATACTAAATTTTCTCCTAAGAGAGAATCTAAACTTGATGTGCACTGAAGGAGAGCTGGTAGACATTGATATGTTTTGGCAACTGTCGCTTGTTTCTGAGACATGCCATTTAAGAGTGAATGCAGTGCAGATGCACAGCTGCCTGAAGTAAATGGTTTGCATAACATACGTGGTAAATCACCACAAGCTTTTGCCCCTTAAACTTCACTACTTAGTCTCTTCCTCAGTGTGGTTTAACGGAACTTGCAAAGGTGTTAATGCCCTGAGCCAAACTTGATTTGGGGGAAAATAGTGCACTGAGAGGTGTGAGAGTGGCATTGATAGCATCCCTGTATTTTGAGAAACAGTGCAAGACTATTTATGTTTCCAGTCTAATAGAAGCTTACAGTATGGTTTAGTCCCATGTTTCTTCTTGGCAGATTGTCCTCCTGTGTTCTAGTTAGTATACAAAGTAAATGGCTCCTTCCCCACATAACTCCTGTAGCGTTAGGGTCAAGCACTGTGATGCCTCTATGAAGGCCATTTGTGTTTATTATAGGAAGAGGTGCAATTTACATCTGCAAGCATATATTTAATACCAATTCCAGGATGTTTTTCTGCACTAGGCTTAGGAACACCCCCCCCCCCCCAAACAAAAAAACACACCGCGTTTTCTCTGCAAATAACCTGAAAAAACAGAATCTTTAGGTGATGTTATCAGTATATCTGTCCTCTGTATCTCTCTGCTTTCTCCATCTGTCCCTCAACTTTTACACATTGTAACCTATTGTTCAATTCTGCCAAATTTGACAGAGACATTATGGTCCAAAAAATGCTAAATTGCTGTAAATGACACAAAAACAGGTGACTGGAAAGCAGAGAAAAAGACTTTTATCAGGGCCTCTGTTGTGGAATAAGTTTGCAGTGGGAGATTACCCATTGATAGGCAGAAGAATTCACACTTGAATTCACTCCTGAGCTGTAAATATAGGCTTTATTGGTTTTGCTGCTCTCAAGACTGTGTTTGTGATGACCTTTTTATTATGACCTTTTTTCTCCCTTGAAAGCAAGTATCGTGACAATATATACTAGTTTCATTTAATTAAAGGGTGGCACATATGTGGCAGAAAAGAAGGGTATATATAACTTTATGTAACTTGAGCACTAGTTGTTAAGCAGCTTGAGCAAATGATTGTTTGTATTTCACTCCTTTCACTGAATTACTAATCCTTTGTCTTCTGGAAATGTATTAGGATGATCATCGCCATCTCAACCAGTTCATTGCCCATGCTGCTCTTGACCTAGTAGATGAGAACATGTGGCTTTCTAACAACATGTATCTGAAGACTGTGGACAAGTTTAACGAATGGTTTGTTTCTGCTTTTGTCACAGCTGGACATATCCTTCCCAATTCTCTTTCCTCATATTTATATAGGAAAAGCCTTTTGCCAGAAAGGGTTAAGTCAGATGAAATGAGTTTGGAACAGATTTTTCTGGCTATTTACCACTCTTATTGTTAGAGAGTGTCACCAGCTTCAGAATGAAATAAGTTGGGAGGCAGAGCAGTCATGGGACCAACTGGAAAGATGGATTTTTCCTTTTGGAGGAGCTGGAATAGCCTAATGAAATGTGGAGCTCACATGGAATAAAGGAAAGAGGAATGAGAGGGGAATAGTATGAGAGGGTCTGAGCGAGCTTATGTGATTCTCTGTTCCCATCCCTTTGATTGTGCTAGAGAGGAGAAGCAGGGATCAACATGCTTGGTGTCAATCACACCCATCTTGAAAATGTGGTGTCGAGGCTTGATCTTAGGTGCAGATAGTCCTGGAAGTGTTTGTTGTGAAACATTTGTTATACATAGGAAGTAACACTGAATGCCATTTTAACTTCAGGGGTATATGGCAAAGGTGCTGAGAGCATCGTCCACATTCAGAATTGTCTAGCTTTAAAAAGAATAACCTTGAATAGAGAGGTGATTACTTTTATTTTCAGATAGGGGAATTTTAAAATATAAAGGTAATGCTTTCTAAATTTCACCGCTCCAGTTACTTCTTTTAATGCTTCCTCCTATAGTCACTGCTATTTCATGTACAGCTAAACATTTTAAGTATGTGCGGAATTAGGTGTAAATGCTCATCTCAGGATATGTTAAATGTCTCTCTTCTTTGTCGAAGTTAAATTTTCCTTAATTGCTTTACATATGAGATTTATAATGCTTCATGATGTAAGGCAAGAAGACGGAATTAAGAACTTCTTTAATGATGTATATGACTTGTATATAAAGGTAAGAATGCACTTCTTATGGCCTCACTGCAGTACTTTAAGTGTGTTCTGGCATGCCCGTATTAGCATGTTTTCTTGTGGGGGCAGATGTAAGTGGAGAAGCACCCATGCAGGCCACATTAGCCAGAGTTGATAACGTGTGACATGAAGGCTGTATTTTCCAGCAAACGGAATAGGTTTTTCTAAATTGCTATAAACTGTGCTCTTTCAGAATTTATTCTTCATTTCAGTCCAGTGATTTCTGGGCAGTATTGTGTCGTTAACGGTGGTGTAATCGTTAAAGCGAAGGACTGTTCTACAGAAGCCTGGTCGAGGTGCTTCGCTCTCAGAACCAGTAGCCCGTGTTCTCACAGCCTGGCGGTACTTCCACTAGATGGGGCAGTCGCAAGCACTGACTGGGAGATGGCCATCTCGGCCTCCTGCGGGGACTCAAGTGATGCTCATTTCCAGAACAGAAATTTCCACCAGCGTCGTGATGGATTTGTTCTGAGGAGCTGGTACTAAGGGGTGGCTGTGCACATATATGGGGAGAACGCAAGGGCCTGGAAAGCAAGTGACTGTTTAGGAGCTCCGTGCTCTTAAGTGGCGCCAAATAGGCTGAAAGCTAATAGTAGTTGTCATCTGAAGTAACATTTTCCAGTGCTGGACGTTGCGCTTATTGATGAGTTTTTCTTCTTTCCTCAGTTTGCAATGAATCCATTCTATGAACTCAATTCTCCTATTCGATCCAGTGCCTTTGAAAGGAAAGTACAGTTCCTTGGGAAGAAACACCTTTTAAGCTGAATAAATAACTTTCCTGAGTGAGTGCTTTTTCCATACTTCCCTGATTATTTGAGCTGTAGTTCTTCTGGTTAGTTCTCAGCATGTTTGATATTCATCTTTCTGAAGATTGACAAATTGGATGCTGAAGGTTGGGGGTTTTTTTCCCCGATATGGATAAGAACAGCCAAGCTTCTCTGGTTAAAATGTATATCTATCTTAAGAAGTTTCCTTTTATGTGTTATGAAAACTAAATTTAAAAACGTCAGGGGCTGAATAGGTACAAACTGAGACATGTGGGTGTCAACGCGTATGCAAAATGTAAGCCTTTTATACAGGGTGGGAGGAAATCGGATCTAAACACAGACGACCTCTCCGGTCATGTGATTTAATATGAGCAAAAGGCAATTCTTGACTGTTTGGCCTAAGTGGCTAATTCTGTTATAAACCTTTCTGCTTGAAGTCCTTTGCTAGAGAGCTTACTCTGCAGACTAACCAGACTAACTTTATTCTTCGTGGTATTAAATCAGGTCTATATTAATATTGTAATGTGCAATGTATGTATTATAAAGTGCTAAATAAAAAGAAAAGAGGATATGTCAGCAAAGGTTTGTCTTTAGTATTTCAGGAAGTTTTGAGAAAAAAAATTTAAGTTTTAAAGCTTAAAATTGCAAGTTTAAGATGTTCAGTGCAATACATGTTTAGCTGCAGTGTTGCATCAATGAAATGAATTAATAAAGTAGACCAGAACAGCTATGTCTGCCCTGACTTTAATTCTAATTAACACATGGAAAAAAACTAAACTAAATTTACATGCTTAAACCCACTTCTTTCCATTATCTCTGCAAGTGCTGAAATTTTCTTTTTGAAAATATATTTAGACGAGGATCTTTGAACCGTGAAACCTCAACTATTTGTTGAGGTTTCAGAAAGGCATTATTTGGCCGGTCTGGCTACTATTCCGTTGTAAAATGTGGTTAGGGACCCTTTTGCAAAACTTACCATCATTCCAAAACAGTCATTTTTAAATGGGTCATTTGGCATATACGTACCGAATATTTTGGTTGGTTTCACAATGTTTTAAGTAGTCTGTTTCCTTTTGCAGCAAATCTGTATAAGCTATTTTCTCTGACATTTTCATTAAATGTCTGAAAAGTAATTCCCAAAGGAAGTGGCATGCTGTTCTAGGAAGTACATTTTGCATAGTCTGTATAATTAAAGGGACCACATGTATATGTGCTTTAAATGTATAGTCAGTCATTATTTCCTTGTAATTTACACTTACTGCTAACCTGTCACTGTAAAATATTCCATGAGAAAAAGAACAGGATATAAAGGTTGCAATATTTACCTTAAATAAAACGTGGAATGATGCAGTATGGATGCCTGTTGAGTATACTTGAAATGATTTAGAAGAAAACTAGATGATCGTGGTAAGGCTACCTTTATTGGCAGGGTGGCACATGAAGATGGGAATACTTGTCTTTGCGGAATTATTTCATAACAACTGCCTTGTACAGCATTTTGATAATGTCATGCAATCTTATGTAAACCAGCGGAGGTTGTTGGTTTTGGTTTTTTGCTTTATACATGAAAGCAACAGAAACACACCTGAGGTAAAGCATTCTTGTTCGTATAAGGAGCCATTAAGTTGGAGCAGTTCTGCTTTCTGCCTCCTCCCCAGTAGCGCGGTGGTTGGAAAAATACTAACAGTTAAGATTCACCAAGGAAATACTTATGTTAAATAATCATATACATGGCAGTAAGAAGTTTTGGCAAAGATAAAAGATTAGTGCTGAGTTTCCATCACGTTTAGAAACTTTTTTTTTTTTTATAATTGTCATCTTTTCTGCCAGCGCACACTAGGAAGCTATGTAAAATAGAACCATTTTCTCTCTTGCCTGATCTCGGAAGGCAGTTAGCTAAATGGTGCCTGTTCTCATGCCCCCCATGCATCTTTCCCCTTTTCTTCTGAATATAGGAATTGTAAAGGGGAAATGCAGTCATCTCATAGGTCCATCTAGGCTTTATGAAAACAGACTGTTACTGGCCACAGGAAAGGGAGAACTATATGCTAACTCATTACATTAATCATTATAGAGTTTGCAGTGAGGAACATTGTCTTATGACAGAATTCTGAAGGACCTAATACTTGAGGTACAGGAATACTTGAAATAAATCAGTGAATTGAAACATAAGCCACAATTACCTCCATATTGAATGACAGATACTAAGCTTTCAAAAAGTACAGAAATGCGTATTTGTTATTAAGCATTATGAAGATTTTTTTTTTTGGTACTTATCATCTACATCTGCTTTTCATAGGACTTTTGCTTCTTTCAAGTACTCGATAGTCTCCCTCTCAGGCCAAATCCTGACCTCAACATAATTCCTTTACTGTCTTATTTACTATAGCATGTAACACCCCCCTTTACCTTCACTAGCCACTTTTGTGATTAGTGTACAGTTGTGGTACAGCAGCTCCCAGGGCACGAGTAATACACTTCTACTGTATTAAGTTTTATTTAACCTACTTCTCAGATGGAGGCTTGGTAACCATGATGTTACGTGGAAAGGCGACAGATGGGAAAAAAAACACAGATGGACTCTTAGGCACAAGAAAGACCACAATGGTTCTCATCCTTAATTGTTTCCTTTTAGCAATCTTGTTTGAATCACATCTACAGTACTCCAGTCACGGTAACTTCATCTCCTGTTTTGATTCAACCTTACCTTTGCTAAAAGGAACATTAAAGGAAGCTTTAAGTAGCAAGGTAGTAGTGTTTTACAACAACTTCATGTCACTAGCTTAGTAGCCCCCAGCGCAAGCAATTTAAGAGGAATTTAGCGAAGATTTTCTTCACAGATCTTTTTATCCATTGCCTAGAAATTAAACGTAACAGAAGTAGCAGCTCAACCTATATTTAGCTGTTAGGTGACTGCAGCTTAAAACACAGTTCTATTGCTGTATATGCAGGACTGTAAGAATGAATCAGAATATACAAAAGGTGAAAAGATGTCAGTTTTAAGCAGGAGCAGCAGATCTATGGAGTAAAGTTGTCCTGGACAGGTTTAAGCAAGAATACAGTACTTTCAGAAAAATGTATTAAGAGCGACAAGAAGGGTTTGTTTTGCAAGCTTTACTTCCAAGTAATTACACCTGGTACAGAGTGAGCAGATACGTTCAGAGAAAACTCTTGCTGTTACTGTACTCTCCAGAAAGGCTTTTCTATTGGAACAAAAGAGTTGTTGTACAGAAAGCAGAGTCTGTGTAGTTTAGTGAGTAACATGGCCTGTACTATAGGCCTCACACTTCCTTTTGAAGTCCACAATGTGTGTACGTGCATGCCTGTTAGCATCAGATTACACATTGAAGCAATAGTGCACTATCAAGTTTGCTATTACAAGGACAGTGGGTACTCTGAGAGCCAACATTCAACAACTTCTCATACAAGTATTCTACCATTTAACTGCAGTGGAGAGCCTCAAATACTCCTTCTGTGGTTTCATCTGCGTTACTGAAGAAAGACTGTTCATTAAATATAGAATTTGCTTCCGTTCATCATCGTGTAATGACTACAGTAATATAAAAGACATTGTCTTAAATTTGTAAGTCCATATCCTAAAATAGCAAATTAAATAAGGATCAAATTCAGCTCAAACACTAGCTGTAGGTATTTACTTATATTAGGGCTGAAAGCTGTCACAATCTACTGCAAGTCAAGAGCTTCCTGAGTTCTCCACGTATTGCCAACCCTTAGTTTCACAGTGCAGAGATTACTGGTAAACACATTCATAGCTCAGGTTAACAGGAACAAGAAGTTTGGAACTTTAAGGCTGTATGCTAAAAGTTCTCCTACAAGTTTGTCATAATGTGGATCCCTTCAAGTGCTATTAAAGCTGACTGGATAAAGCACATCTTTTTCAGAACTAAAAATGGTTATACTTCAGTTACTCAGATTTTTTTTTACCTGATTGATCAGAAACATGCTAGAATGGGACTTAAGGCAAAGACATGTATTAACTTAAAAAATCATCAGTATCTTGCATTAAACTGCTGGAAAAACTAGTACAGTATTAGAATAGTAAGTTAAAGGAAAATGGACATTAAATATGTAGGAGATTTATTTCCTACTTAAAAACCTACACAAATTATAGCAACATCAGGCAATTAGAGAAGACCTGAAGGTAACTTATATTAACCTATAATAAACACATTAGAGATGAAGTACCACTCACAACAAAAGGAATGTAGTGAGACTGAAGTTTAATATCTAGCATTGTTAAGAAACTGACTTCTAGTGAAACAAAAATGGAATGCTGATTTCATAAAAATATACACATATAAAAGTATCTTTGTGTCTGAATTCCAGAACAGTTTCTCCAAAGTAGTGCTTCTAGAACTTTCAAGTTTTAATTATATTCAAAGTATTTATCATTTTAATAAAGTTGGCAAATTACATTCTTATATTGATGTTTTTACTTGACACCTTCCTAAACAGAAAGTGTCACTAATTCAGTAATGAGTCACTCATGAATGGAATTTTTTCTTTTGCTCCCCCAAGAAAGCAGCAGAATATTACAATTCTAATATTAGAGTGAAACCCATTTGTTATTTTATCTACTACACCTTCCCCATCCTTTTATAGAGCAAGCTAGTCAAAAGTAATTTGGCCAAAAAAAAAATTTAAGTCAACAACAAGATGAACTGGGTTTTGGTTTCCGATGAAGGTTTACTGTATCTGTTTGAATAAAGTGATCTGATCTATCTTCAGAGGCTAGAACTCTTCTAACTGCTTCTTCAAAGGCTGCTGCGACATTAGTGGCATCTTTTGCACTGGTTTCAAAATAGGGATGGTTGCCATTATTCCTGCACCAGTCTTGGGCTTCTTCTGTAGACACTTGCCTTTCATCGATATCAACTTTGTTACCCAGTATCACAAACGGAAAACTTTCAGGCTCCTTGACATCTGCATAATAAATGAATTCTTTCTTCCAGTTGCTTAAGTTTTGGAAGCTTTGAGAGTCATCCACGCTAAAGGTTAGCAGGCAACAGTCAGAACCTCTATAGAAAGGAGTCCGCAAGCTCCTGAAACGTTCCTGACCTGCTGTGTCCCATATCTGCATTGTAACAAAATGTCCATCAACTTCCAGCTCTTTATTTAAGAATTCCACACCTATTGTATGAAACAGCTGTGCATCGAACTTGTTGGTGACGTATCTGTTCATAAGGGAACTCTTCCCAACTCCACCGTCTCCTAGCAGTATTACTTTAAGGAGCGATGATTTTGCTGCCATTGTTACGGGAATAGATCCTCCTGGTTTCCTAGACCTGTAAAGATTAAGAAAATCATTAAAAAGGAAAGGGTTGCAAGCAGAAAATTTTACACACGTAAATATCTAGAAAGTGTTAAAGTCCACCAACATCAAGTTCCACGTACAAAACCAGGAGGACTATGCTAAACAGGTGAAGCGTAGATACTCATAGTAAGAATACCCACTCAAGAATACCACGTGTTTAAGAGGCGTCTCTGCCACAGACTGCAGTCTGTACGGCAGTCTAAGCAGTACACTGCATGAATTACTGGTCTGTCACTTAAAACCCCCAAACCCTCCAACGTTTGTGCAGAAGAGGCATTGCATCACATTCAACGAGGGCAACAATTCACTTATGTTGACTGAAAAAGATCCATGGAAGAAAGCGGAGCGAGATGATTTTATAGAGCACGTGCCTTGAACTTGTCACTTCAGTGCTGTATTTCATTAGCAAAGTTATTTTTTAACATGCAAAAGCGAAGAGGAAACTTTAGGAGTAAAGCAGGACGCTATCTGTTATACTGGAAAAACTGCTGCGCTTCACCCAAAATTGCAACCAGACAAGGAATTTTAAATCAACTCACAGGGAACGCAGTTACCGACAGAACAAATGCAAATGCTGTAATTTTATGTCAAAATTCAGGTGACTAGGTATTGGTACACAAACATGCAGTATTTTCGGTTTACTCCTTGAAGAACAGCCGTGATGAATGGAATACTATTACAACTACTACAAAAGCAAACTCACTGTTGCTACTTCAAATGGTACTCAAGATGCCAAATACCGAGGCCAAGCCTACGCTGACAGTTCAGTTAGTAGGTGTCAACTTCCCATAGTAAAACTGTCAAAAAGCCTGGAAGTGCTAGTGAAGGGCCTGGCTGCCAGCACAGGGATGGTGAATTAGTGGCACCAATGAAGCTTTTTTACTGTCGGATTTTAAAGGATTATTATTTTTTTAAAGCAGCTAGCTCATTAGTGTTTTGTGCCAGCCCAAGGTTGGCCCTCATTACAGTAGTGTCATCTAATACTGTAAAAAAGTGTTTTAACTGCTTGGGGGTAAAGTTTCATTTTAAAGAGCCCAAACTTAAGTTTCTGTATGAGGGAAAACTGCTGTTCCTATGTACCTACCCATTACTAAAAGAGCTCAAAGAAATTCATCCAAGTTAGGCTTCTCTGAAAATAGCGTCTATTTAAAATGGAAATGGGTCATAAGTTGCCTAGTCCGTCTCCTTCTCTGAAGGAAGGAATGCAGTCTTGCTAGTTGTAATTAGCGTTACTGGCATATACATCACCCACAGAGTATGGTTATGGAATTAATACCTGATACAAGCTGGCGTGAGAGTCGTATGACTCTGCTGCCTTAGAATCAAGGCCTACATTAGAAGCGAGAAATTTCTGGATTTTTTGTGTCTTTAACTTTCCATCTTTGAATGTTTATTTGTTTGTTAGACACAATCTACAGCTGAAGCCTCAACACAAAGAAATTTCAAAATATAAGGACCAGTGGCTGCTTCCATTAAAAAATTGTTCAGAGCAAGTGATTTTATTCATCCATACTGTGTAATTAAAAACAATGTTTATAAATCCTTAATATTTCTAAGGGTTTGCATCACAACAATGTTAAAACTGCTTAAGAGCTACAAGTGGATTGTTCATTTACCTTCCACAGAGCTATGGGATAATTGCTATGCCTCAGGATATGAACATGTACTTTTTTACGTACGTGGAAACCCTTATCAGAGTCACCAGCCTAATTGCACGATTTCCACATTCACGCTGAAATATTTAAAATGGTCCTACTATTAGTTAATGAATAAGTTATTCGAGCTACACCATTAGATAGTAACATCTTCTTAATAAATAATGCATTCATGAGAACAGAGGGTACTGAATGTTTCTCTGTTCTTCCACTTCAGTGTAGGAACAAGTTACAATTTATTTTTTTTTGTCCTACTGAAATCCCAAGTTCCCTAGAAGACAATGTGAATAAAAAACTGACTTATGTAGTTCCGACTAGTACTATGCACCTGTTTCTTTAGCCTCTGCAGTTTGAAGAACTGCAGTTATTATCATGAAATTTTCCATGAAGCCACATTTTAAACAAAATACAAGTAAGGAAACTGCTAACAGTATCTAGTACTTTTGTGCATCCAGAACCTGAGAATTTGCACAATTTCAACTACATGAACCATTACAGTAAGGTCTAGGAGACTGATGACCATAAAAATACTTTCACTGGGCGGACAATTATACATCAGCCACAAACCATTAAAAGCGCCTTTTCAACTAGAACCAAACTGTTCCTTCTACACAAAGGCTACGGAAGCAATCTTCCCAGGACTGATAAGCAAGTATCTCAACGTGACGTTGCAGGCAACGTCACTCTTCAGGACATTCAGCTTCCACGGTAGAAGCTGTCATGCTTAGCTAGCAGTTAATGTTTTTGTAAAGTTTTTAATCCAAAATAAATAGGATATATGTTAAGTCATTTAAGTACATACTTACAAGCTGGATCTGAAAGAGCAAAGAAGCACATTTAAAGGCATTAAGAAGCATTTTTGTTTGGAAGCAGCAAAGACTTTATACAGTTACAGTTTTTTTGACTATATAAGAGACTCAATCAGTGGGGCTGCAGATATGTGATTTAGAGTATCTGCAGAACCAGGATGGTAATTTTCAGCACAGTAGGCTGCTGCATTTTTTCCACTTACACTTCTTTAAATAAATTAAGATTTTTAAAAAGCTCAATTTTTGTAATTTTTTTTTCATACAGTTATGAAGCCTTAATACTCCAACAAATAAAGTAACAATAAAATCCTTAAGATGCCTGGAGAATTAATGTTATTTCTCCTATTACATACTTCGAACTTATCTGTATAATGTGCTTTTTGACAATGTTTTTGGAAGGAACAGTCAACATCCAAATTCTGAACATTTATTACCTTAATAGTTCAGTTTAAATCATCATTCAGCATCTGAAAACAAAACAAAACCTTAATTTCCAATGTGCATCTGATTGTTTTAACCAACATCAGGAACTACAAAACACCACAGAACTACAGATAACTGCTTATTCCAGTTATTTCTTACGTTAAATTAATTATGCAGCACAGTAAGAGTAGTCTCAACCTAGTACATAGAGGAGTCTATAAGGAGAAGATTTTTCCCTCATGTTCTTCTATTATTTCAATATTCAAAGAAACTCAGAGCAAATAAAAAGCAGCCCCACTCTGGCCCATTTTGATAACCATCTCTGAATTGCCTCTGCCAACTTATAAGGACTCAAACTCTTAAGACCACTGACTTCAATATTCCTGTTAAAAGCAGGGAACAGTTTCTACTAAGTGCCATTTCTAACATGATCATATACCATAATATAAATAGTAATTTAATTGTCACCTCCCAGAATCTCCCATTTAAACAGCGCGCTGAATTACAAGTCTGAAACATTTCCATTAGCAGTCCAAACATTTGCTGGCAAGACTAAAAACAACATGCTAAGCAACTAAAAAAAAAAGGTGTGCATTACAAAATCTTTGATTCCCAGCCCCTCAAAGCTTAGAGAAACACCACTGCCTTGTCCAATCTATGCAGCTAGATTTCTTAATTCCATGACTGTCAGCTTCATAGCTGCCTTTTTATTTTGAGTGCAATCACCTCTTCTAACACTTAGCTACTGATGCAGCACTCAAAGAAAAGCAAGATTCTTGGTCTAGAAAACCATAGCAGAAACACACAAACTCAGTCTAGGAATTTGTCTTGTTTTACTATAAAAATAATAGATAAAAATAATTTAATAGATTAAGGAGGACCTGCTTATACCAGAGTACTGAAGGCTGAAGAGAGGTGCTGAAATCACATTATGTCTATGGAAAAATACTGTTAACCAACATGGTAATTGCATTGTATCTATGACGTCAGCAAGCACACTTAAACTATTAAGCAAACCAAGTCAGTCGGACCAATTTATAGTTTCACTTTTACCATACTGATAGCAGGCACAGCAGCACACCATAAAAAAAACCCCCAGCCACATAGAAACTGAAATCTCACCTCTACCCCACCCTTTTTAATTAAAGACACCAAAACCTGGAACTGTTGCAATAGCACCACTGCACTCCCTCTAGTATTCTTGAAGAAACAGATATAAGGGACACTTCAAATTTCCAGACTATCGTTTCTACATTTGTACCTACTTTCTAACTTGGAAACAGGCAAGAAAATTTTTTTTCTAACACCGTTTTCAGCCAGCGGTCACTGATGAACCACCCGCTATACAAAATCAAGACTAAACCCAAATGTTTCCTTGAAGATGTGTGGTACACTGTTCTTTAGTTAAAGTTGTTGAAGAGCACCCATTTGACTTGGAGAAGGAAAAAAATCCAAGGTAAGGCAGACTCAAGTTCGTTCCAACTAATCACGTTTATTTACAGCCTAATCTGCTTTCAGCCAAGACTTCTTAAAAAAAGGGCCATCTTTGTTAAAGATTTAAGAAAAAATAACACTCAAAGTTACTTGACAAGCAGAATTAGCTGTTCCATAGCTAGCATAACAATAACACTGACCATGTTTTGTAACTTCCTATCCTCAAATTTACACATATACAACACACCCGTTTCAGCTTTGAAGCTTATTCACAATTCTTTGCTAAGCCGTCTTACTTTGTTAAACCACAGGTATCGGACATTAATAGTTTAAGAAGGCACACAAACACTTCAAGTATTTTGTCCGACAAAACCACTCGCCTTTCAGTAACATTATGTAAACTTACTCCCTCATTAGTAATTTTTTTTTCTTAACACTAACAAAGCATTTGACAGTATCTACCAGGCTAGCATAGAAAAAAGTTGTTTCTGTGGTTTGTTAATTGCAGTGGCTCATCAAAAAATGACATAAATTGCTTCTCTGGGAAGCGTCTGAAAAAAAGTCCCAAGAACTATCAGAGTCGCAGCAGCAGGGGCAGAATCCAGAACTATGTAAAGTAGTTTTCAACACATACACTTACTGTTTGTGGAGTTTTTACATCTCTCAGCCCTCAATCACTACAGAGTAGTTAGACTTGTCACCTTTCTCCCTTTTCTCTGCTTAGCCAATTCTTGTTCTTGTATGGTTTACACCTTGGCCAATTAAGTGGCACAAGAATGATTTTTTTAGTGCATAAGAGGCCACAAGCCTGCTTGACCTTGAAACATTTTGCTCCCAATTCAAAGGGAAACACAGAGATATGTAGTCAAGATGTTACACGCTTTGTACTTCTGAATGCATTACAAGCTCGAACATTAATCAGCCTCCAAACTGACCTTCCTCTCACAAGATACCGATGTAAGAGCTGTGGATCAGGAACACCCCTTTACCGACAGCCACTCGTCAGCTGCCTAGTTCTCTGGAAGCCTGGGAGCCCTTCAATCATATGGCTCGACCTACTGAGATGCTAATCACCTTGCAAGTGTTCCTTCCTTTATCTCTGATTTCACCATTGCACTGTGAAGGTAGTTTGTGTTTTCTGTTGGATAGATCTTTAATAATTTGATGACAGGTTATCTAAAAATTGCCTCTAATTGTAAGCAGCCTAGACAGGCTTTATCTAACACCAGAGTATCACTAGATAATATTCATAATAATTTGTAATATGAACACAACCCAAACTGAACTGACATACAGCTGTTGCCACTCATTTTAAGACCAAAAAGTTATATTTTGGGATTTCTTTATAAGGTTATTTTTAACTCCTACATAGTTCAGTGCTCTACTTCAAACAGTTGCCTGGCATGACTCAGGACTATGAAAGAAGCAGCAGCAGCCAAGGGAAGGAATCCTTAAGTTCGCATAACCCCTGGATCATGAAATCATCCCAGTACCTACTGCCAGAATCACTTCATTTATTCTAACTTACATCTAGCCACAAATTCAATCCGCAAAACCTGTCAGGAGAAATACCTACATTTATACCTCTGCTAGCTTTATCTTGCAGAGACCTGGCCTTTACTTTCCATCTTGTGCCCCCACATTCAAGTAGAATGAGCAGACTTACTTATTCTGATTTAATCGGAGTTGACATTTCTCAGCAGCTCACAGTTGAGCATCTTCCAACTTAAATATTCTATTACTTTCAGCCAACTGCAAAACACCCTTAGGTGCTGCTGCTCTTGGTCCAACATTTCTAACAATTCATGAGTTAAGTGACATTCTCCTTGCAACCTACTTCTCTGTTACTGCTTCCACTCTTTCAATAACTTATCAAGCAATTATTTCTGCTCATATGTGCTCATCTTTCTCCCTCACATTAGCTTCCCTTTTTCGCCAAGGAATCGTAGCAACAGCAGCCTCTATTGCCCAGGCTACATTTGTGCATTCATATTCTTCCCAATGTAACTATGTGACCAAGCCCATCCCTAAGGGATTAAGTGGGTTACACTGTACCAGGCCAACATACTGTCTACTCTACCGAGAATGAACACAAAAACAAAACACCAAAGAGAATGAACGCTATTAAAAAAACCTTAAGGAATTCTTACAAGCCTTTTTGCTGGGAAGTTTTTATTCATCATAAAACATTTATGTAAAATTCCAGTCCTAAGAAGCTGAAAGATGTTTCTCACGATTTATTACTAAATTGACACAAAATAAAATACAGCTTGAAATCCAAATACCTCATTTGACCCTCTCCAATTTTTTTCACCTATTTTCAACTTAAGGAAACTGATGGTTTGAGCACTCAAAAGCAAAACAAGGACTGCTAAAGCCTTTTTTTTTTTTTTTTAAGTACACACTCCCCATTTCTAACTTAACAGAAAAGGCTTTACTGAAATTAAGGCACCAAACAGAGCTCCATACAACCTGAAAGAAGACAGAGAAAAATAACAGTTCATTAGAAATTCCACATTGATACTGAAACACAGATGTAGTTGTACCATCCTTTGGTTAGGTTTCTCTAGAAATAAAAGTGCCAGGAAAAAAAAGGGTTGGATTTCTTTTGGGTATATCTGAGAAATAGCTCTCCCTCCACAGTCTGCCATTACAGCTTGTTACCTTACAAGCTACTAAAAAGCCACAAAAATATCCCCCAAAATACCCAACCACACATAATCACCCTTGCTCTAAAAAAAGCAAGCACTGACAATTTCAGTGTTGTACAACACTTTAAAAGTAAAGACAAATAAAAAACACATGCTCATTTAGCAGAGCTGTAAATTAATGTGGACAAGAAGGAAAGAAAGAAAACAACACGTAGGGTGGCAGACTACATGACAGAGATCTGCAGACAAGCAAGCGTTTTAATTCCAAAACAAAATTTAGCCAAGGAGTTCCCTACTTGCCTACCCCACCCAAGTTAATAAAATTAAGTGCTCTCCGTGTATCCAGTTATATGTAACCTTGCTAGAAAAGCCACTAATACAGGTTTTTAAAACTAGTTTTCTTGCACTATTCTGTTATTCGTTCAATTATTTTGCAGAAGTTACATTTAACATGGAATACTTACACTGAAACTGCTCATTAACCACTCAGACGTAAGTCATTCAACAATCTTAACCTAACCTTTTTGGTTCTCCCGCCACCACCGCATCTAAGTTTGCATAGCCATCTGCCACGATTAGAAAAGCAACTGGCCGTTGCAGAGAAGAGCTAAATCAAGTCACTTGTTCAAAAAAGAAGAACCAAAAACTACATTGCTCAGGGTCCCCTTGGGAACACAGAAGTCCTTCAGCAGACAGCAACAGGAAAAGGCGATAAAGAGACCGGTTTTTTTTTTTCCCCCGGTTTGAAAGGTGTCGAGGGGACAGGTACGAAACCGAGTTTCACCCGAACAGATCAGAGATCTTTATTAGTGCCGAGGAAGCACTGTGGAGCCGGAGACTGATCATGCGCCGGCTGGGAACCCCCTGGCAGGAGCCGTTTCCCGAAGGAGCCGCCGCCTGCCCCGGAGTCACGGGATCCCCGATCACGCCACACTTT